GTTAACGTCCATCCCGGAAAACATCCTGGGGAAGTCCCTTCTACAATTGGCACCTCCGACGGTAATCGTCATATGACGAATGAAACGTTAGTTGACCGATCAGTCGGTTAAACTGTATCGAGCTTCTTTCTGGAATAATCATCGTGCATCACCCGCGTGTGAATTTCGACTCGTGCGTCAATCTGGCCGACAACAGTCAGCTACGTCGTTTGTCTTGAAGAGTGACACGTCGTAAATTTTCGTATCCGTTAAACGTCAATGCTTGTGAAATGACACGTGTCATTGAATTTTTGATCGCAAGCAATGTTGGGGGCATTTAGTCAGACCGAACTTCCAGCGCATGCGCCAATTTACGTCACGCATATAACTGCTTATCATACTCGTACTTAAATGCAATATTGAAGGTTTTTGTGGAGTCCGAACCATATCTTTTTCCATTTTCTTTTTCTATATAGCCTGCATTCCAATATTAATTGCTAGCACTGAAAATCTATAGTATATATGACACAAATGATGTATTTTCAGTACTGGCAGTGAATATTGGAATGTAGCCATAATCCTATATTGCTACATTGGTTTCGCCTTAAGAGCACCCTATTGTGCATAAGCGAATACGAGTTTATCAAAACTTGTAACGTAGATTGACTCATGCGCAGGAGGTTCGATGGGACTAAATGCCTCCAACACTGGTCGCAAGGAGGGAGTAGAAGTAGAGTGATGTATAAGGCCCAATTCCACAACTTGCTTTAAACTCCGTTTAAACTCCGTTTAAAGCAAGTTGTGGAACTAGGCCTAAACCAGAAAGAAGAAGGAGAGAAGCCATGGGCCGCTTTTAGCCTTTAGAGTGCGAAGCGCTTTCTGTACAACCGTGCACATGAACTACGATGCCAAATGTCCACGATTTTTTACTGATTTCTTCCATCACGTACGCACACATAGCCGGCTCGGTCTATCCGTGTGGGCCACGCGCTCGGCAATCGTCGGCGCGCCGAACGACATAGAGAATATCTTTCCCTCCTTCTCATTCTCGTGTTCGCTCAGCAACGCGAGCGAGAATATCTTTTCCTCTTTCTCGCTCTCGTTCTCGCTCAGCGACGCGAGCGAGGCTAATTCTTTCTGGGCTATAATCTGATAAGGGCTGCTTCCAAACTTGGGGTCACCGATTTTGACGAGTTTTAGCAGAATGTAATATAGGTCCAGCAAAAGCTACTGTTAACCGGAGACGATGCAACACTCAAGCATTTGGGAAAAATTACAAATTGAAATTTCGCGATTTTAAGTATGCTCCATTAATCCAATGTTTACAGAATGATTTCCAAACGTAGCGCAGCAGACCAGGCGCGGTACTGGTAGTCACCGGGTTGCGTGTTCGCGCCTGGCAATGTCTTGTTATTTTTTTTATATGTTTTTATACGTTTTATATGTTTATATTTATTTTATGTTTTTTTTTTACTTTTACGAATAAAAATATATATATTACAGAAGAATAGGAAGATAAATTTATTATACAAATAGCCTTTTCTATGTTTCATGAAGGAGAATGGACACACAATTCAAATATAGGTATATATTATGTATAATTAATATTTATTGCATCTATTTTAATTAATACATTTATATGTATATAACCGTGGACAAAATTAAGTGGATAGGTATCATAAATAACAAAAGATTAATTTAATTTAACTGATACAGTCAAAAATCAAATTTTATTGCTTATTTAAATTAACGAGTATAATTTGACAAAATGTAAAGAAAAACCAATTGTAACAAATAATATATTAGAATTTTTATTGATTAATGATAATAATATAAAACTGCACATGGTCAAAATTAAGTGGACACTTTATACAAAGTAAATATTAATACTTTGTATTGTAGCCTTTTGCTTTTATTACTGCTTGTAAACGTCGTGGCATACTTTCAACAAGTTTTTCCAGATAATATTTATCAATTCTTTGAAACTTTAGTCGCAATTCATTTAAAAACTCTTCTTTATTATTGCGTTTTTCTAATGGAATCTCTACATCCAATAACTCCATAAATTTTCGATTGAGTTAAGGTTCGGACTTTGTGTATGAAGGCCATTCAGGGACTTCTATTTTATAATTCTGGAAAAATTGTTCCATTTTCTTTGCTGTGTGCTTCGAATCATTTTGTGTGTATGTGTGTGTGTGTCTTGCTGAAACAATTGTCTTATTGAGATCCATTCTTAGAAGTGATTCTTCTAAGTTTTCATTTAAAATGTTAATATATTTATCAGCATTCATGATTCTATCTATAGCTACTAAATTTCCAATCCCATACCACGAAAAATAAGCCCATATCATTATTGCACCTCCTCCATATTTGACTGTTGGTACAACATATTGCTTCTTTAGAGCTTCATTCGATTTCCTTCACACGGGTGCTCTCTTTTTTTTTTATTCAATGATTCAAATTTACTTTCATCGCTCTATATTATTCGTTTCCAAATGATAAATGGCTTATTTACATATTTTTTAGCAAAAGCTGAACTTTTCTTTTTATGCATTCTTTATTAATGTATAATTTACGTCTACTTACACGACTCTTTAAACCCACCTTTTTTAATCTTCGTCTCACAGTTCTTGAAAATATGTTTAATTGTAGTTGTCCAACAATGTTTCGTGATGTTGTCGATGGGTTATGACGTTGAGCTTCTCTCACAATTCTTCTGTCAAGCGTAATAAAAGCAAAAGGCTACAATACAAAGTATTAATACTTACTTTGTATAGTGTCCACTTAATTTTTACCATGTGCAGTTTTATATTATTATCGTTAATCAATAAAAATTCTAATATATTATTTGTTACAATTGGTTTTTCCTTATATTTTGTTTAAATTATACTTCGTTAATTTAAATAAGCAATAAAGGTTTGATTTTTTGATATTATTATAGTTAAATTAAATTAATCTTTTAATATTTATGATACCTGTCCACTTAATTTTGTCCACGATTATATACATACAAATGTATTAATTAAAACAGATGCAATAAATACTAATTATATATAATACATATCTATATTTGAATTGTGTGTCCATTCTCCTTCATAAAAAATAGAAAAGGCTGTTTGTATAGTAAATTTATCTTCCTATTCTTCTGTAATATATATATTTTTATTCGTAAGAGGAAAAAAACATATAAAATATAAAAAAAATTAAAAGACATTTCCAGGCGCGAACACGCAACGCGGTGACTACCAGTACTGCGCTTAGTCTGCTGCGCTACGCTTGGAAATCACTCTGTAAACATTGGATTAATGGAGTATACTTAAAATCGTGAAATTTTAAGTTGTAACTTTTCCCAAATGCTTGAGTGTTGCATCGTCTCCGGCTAACAGTAGCTTTTGCTGGACCTATATTACATTTCTGCTAAAGCTCGTCAAAATCGGTGACCGCAAGTTTGGAAGCAGTCTTTGTCAGATTATAGCCCAGAAGGAATTAGCCTCGCCGCGTCGCTGAGTGAGAACGAGAGCGAGAAGGAGGGAATGATATTCTCTGTAGCTCGGCGCGCCGACAATTGCCGAGCGCGTGACCCACACGAGTAGACCGAGTCGGCTATGTGTGCATGCGTGGTGAGGGAAATCAGTAAAAAATCGTGGACATTGGCATCGTAGTTCATGTGCACGGTTGTACAGAGAGCACTTCGCACTAGGCTCGGCCAAAAGCGGTCCATGACTCCTCTCCTTCTTATCTCTGTATAAATATTCATCTCCGTCCGCGAACTGGGGCTTCGTTAGGTCGCACGACGATCGCAGAGTTACACGTGTCTATAACGTTGCCTGCAGATCTCACTGCGACCGAGACGTTCGTCATTACGAGGAACGTGAAAATGGCATGCATGATGGTTCAAGACAAAAGTCCTCTGAGATCTGAATTCTAGGGAAGCTAACGACGTGCTAACGCGACGTGTCGTAATGCCGAGCGAGAGCGACTCTGCCTCACGGAACTGTCGATTAATCGACAATGACTTGTTGATTTCTGACAAGTAATCACCTTGCCGATTATTGCAATTATATTCGCGTCTCCCTCTAATAATAAGCTAGTTGTCGGGATTTATGTTTTAAACATGATGATCACGTGTCGATGACAAGATACGAGCGGTCACCACTGAGAGAATAACACGCGAAACTAGCAGACGCGTGCCGAATTTGTTGCCGCGAATTCGCGCGTTTCGTAACCGACGTCAGGGCGACTATCCGGAAAAAAGTAATCTCGGATCGACTTCGAAAAATTCCAGGACAAACTCATGTGAGAAAGAAGTGTAAAAAGGCGCAATGTCCAGTGTTTCCACTCGCGCATTGCCACTCCGTTAATTCGCTACATCTGTCGTTGACGTCCGTGCATTTGCGTTGAATTTTGTGCCGGAAACACAACGAACCGTTCCGAGAGTACCGAGACGTTGCGGAAAGCCTTTGGAGATGAATGCTCGTCAAGATCGTGTGTGCTCGACAGCTATAAGCCGCTCGAGAATAGACAAGCCTTGTTCAAGACGTTCAGCGACGTTCAGGTTCAGGTTGAAGCAGTGTGGGGTTCGGTGATGGAGGATCGGCGTTTGACTGTCTGAGAGAGCTAGCTGAGGATGTTGAGATGTTGGATTCATGCCGTAGCATTCTACGAGGAAAAACAAATTTTTGCTGACCATATTTTTGTTACGCTACGATAACGCGCTGGTTCGCATTTCCACTTCGACGTCTGTCCACGACGTGTTTGTGTTTCATTAAAAGCTCGACTGACATCAACGCGCGAGCGCCGTGCGACCTTGTCCTGCTTTCCAGACTGAGCACCTCTGTTACGGAGCTGTGGTTTCTAGTCTGTCGAGGTTCGATCGTACAAGATTCTCGCTGGACGGGTCGAATCTCGTTGGACCGTCCTAGAAATCGAGTCCCAGCAGTCTCGCGAAGACTGGAGGGGACTTGGTTGACTTAAGCGTACTGCGAGCAATGGGGATCACCTTGGAGGCGACCAAACAGATATATGAATACTTAGTGTTTTTTATTTGACTTGTCCTGGAACTTTTTGAACAGAGTAGCATATGTATGTATATATGTATTTGCTTGAAAACGCTATTCTACTAGTCTTTAGTTAATTGGCATTTCATGGCGTATGGCCTCAAGATACGATGGATGAGTTCATCTCACGACCGCCAACTACCGCGCGCACGGCGCAACTACCAAACACGCGAAACACGACCCAAGCTGCTGGATCCGTTTGGACGCGACCCACTCGGCGATATTCGCCGGAGGCCGACGGTAGTGCGAAGGTAGGTCGAAGAGAACTCTCTCACGTTTGGCAGCAGCGCGGAGGAGGGGACCTCGACGACGACGGCTTGTCGAGTGCTCCGTGCTGTCGGTGCGCACCGACATGTACACGCACACATACACACATACACACATACACACACGCACACATACACGCACACGCATGTGGGATGAATTTCAACCTAACGAGCTTGAGAGCGTACCGATCGCGCAAATCACGTCCGCTCCTCGGGAAGAGGAAGGGTGAGAATAATCTGCCGCTCGACGACGAGCCAAAGGGAAAAGAACGCCTTCGCTACGACGCGGCTACGATACGTACGCGAGTTCCCGCTGCGGACGCATGCTATTCTCCCTTCTCTTCCTCCCCTCAGACGCGAGATGCACACTGGAGCCCTGCGATCGCGAGAGGAGTGGCGGGGGAACTGTCAAAAACACGGCGTTTGAAAGGAGAGACACACGATGCATATATGCATACACGCACACGCACCCGCACACGTACACACACACACACACACGTACATACACACTCGTTCTCGCACCTCGCATCTTCCAACAGACTCCACGGCGACCGTACCCTTTGATCGATTTTCACACAGATGGACGGATTTTACATGTGACTTGACTGAGTCCCTCCCATCCTCTGTTGCATCATCGTCAAGAGCAGATCGGAGTACTGCTGCATCATACTGACTATCTTGCCCTGGTCCTGGCCAGCGAGCAACTCCTTGAACTTCGCCGTCGCCTCGTTCGCCATCATGCTGTCGCCGACGTCGTTAGAGTGGTTCTCGCCGCCGCCGGCGACCACCAGCCGCAGGGTGCGCATCGTCTCGTTGACCGACGACTCCAGGCCACGCAGCATCGTGTCCCGGTCGATCTTGCCGCCGGCTGGGTCATCGTGGTCGATCGTCAGCCGCTTGTACAGCTGCACCACGTTGTCGGCGGTCCGCGTCAGCTCGTCCGTGATCGTGTTGCACAGCTGGGTGGACACTGCAAGAACGCACGTCGCGGTGTCAGTAGGTCGTGCGGGAGGTCCTGATTCCGGCGCGCAACACGCCGGACTCCGAGTATATCAATGATTATAAGAAATGACGTATCGTGCAGCGTGCAGGTTTCACATCGGTTTGGAAAATCCGTACGAGACCATGCTATTATGACTGAGACGTCTAATCGAGATATGCGCAGTCGTGTCTAATGACGAGCTATGAACTCGCGCGACGTCTAAGTGTGGCTTTCGCGAGCGTGAGGAGCCGACCGCGTATCTTTGCCCTTGAGCGTGAACCGAGTGCAAATGCTGAATTGCTCTGAATCGGAACTTTTCACCTTCCTCACCGGGCTCACGTTGGAAGGTAAGATAGGCGATAACCGATACTGGCTTCCTTCCTATCGGCGCCGCGTGATGGCAACCCGGAAGCCGCAGATCAGGCACACTCTCCACACCGCGAAACACCTAAGATATCGGATTCTATGAATCTTCGAATGGCCTACTAGTGATGTCAACTTCTGGAGATAGCAATCGAGATCGGCACGAGAGCGTGTGAAGTATATGATACACTTTTGATACACAGTATGTACAAAGACATCTCTATTTTGCGCAAAATTTCTATGCGAAAGATACGGACTAGACGCTGTTGCACGCTGAATCGCCAGAACACATCTCGGATGTGAGCTAAATGAATGAGAAGCTGAACGGATATACAGCGTATATGTATATAATACACATCACAGTAAAAACGAGAGAAAAGGTATTATCGTACGAATCGAAATCTCATACGAGATCCCCGTGACTGAGCTCGTGCGTCTCGGCCGGTAAATTTTTCGACATCGCAATCGTGGCGTGTAGCGTTTGTATGTACAGCCGCGTATTTCCGCTCCTGTTGACGAAAGTACTTTCGACAAACAGTTACGAGGAGCTTGGAAACGAAAAAAGGAACCTTTTTCCTGCCATAGCATGATCACTTACAAATTTTGGGTACAGTGAAATTTTACATTCACAGCACAGCATTCTCAACAGGTGTCTCTAGATTACCTAATGCTTTATCCGTGCCTACTGCAAGAATAAAATTGGCATTAGATCGATGTTGTTACACAGAGATTAGTCGTCGTAGGTTTTAGAGAAGGGGAGAAGATTAACAACCGATCAACGCGTTTGTAGCAACCGCGCGGATTTCACACCGGACAGAGACGGTGCGTCATTATTCCTTACTTGCCCGAACTTACATGCCCGCACTTTTCCGGATGATTGTGATGCAAGGATGATCGTGATCACTGGCTATCGTTTCTCGTGTACTTACACTCGGCACTAGCTACATCGATAGCACGATCCGTGTCTTTGACCGGTAGCTCGTGCGGACTAGGCTCCAGCTGATTTCTGCTCGCCGTGGACATTCTGCCGCTTCCGTTTTGCCCGATCGCGCTGGCGCCACTGCCGCCGCTGCCCCGACCGTTTGTTATAATCGTCGACGACCCGGACCTCCTCAACGTCGTGCCGGGTAAACTTAAGCTAAAAACATAATTTTTTACTTGGTAAACGTTTAATCACTATTGAACAGAATTTTACGGATGCTAAATTTTTAATACAGTAAACAAGGTAAATGAAACTATTTCGTTGAGTTAAGAATGAAATTGATCAATTCAATCTCGAGTAACTCAAAGTAATATATTAGGTATTTCGGTTAACTTCCACTGCTCGCATTTAGATAGCTCTGGCCAGATAGACGTTTTTCAATAGAATTTAGTCTACCAAGGTTTACTTTTGTAAGCGGTGATATTGTTTTTAAATCAACTCAAAATGGAACGCAATAAGTTTTTTGATTATGCTCTCCTCCATTACTTTGATATAAAGAAAACTGTAGCTGAAACACATCGAATATTAGTGGAAACCAGGAAATCCGGATCGGACCGATACTGGAACCGGTAACCGTTTCGAAACCGAATTTTATCAAATTATACTATAGTAACCATAACCATACCAAAATTTTATAGTATCAAACAGATCGAAATCGATACCGGACCGATAAAAATATTTTCGGTTTTCGGTACTTTTTCGGTTTCTACGACATCCCATATGTCACTGCCGCCGATTATTTATTAGAAAATTCACACCGCGATCAACATATTACAATAGTTACGTTCAGGGCTTCTATTCCGTTACTGTCGTTCCGACAGTCGTCTGTGTCGTGCAGTGCAAAACGGCATTGCGCAGCTTTTATTAAATGAATTATAAGAATAAAATAAAAATAGATAATTTCATATTTTGTGATCACAATTTCAGAAAATAAAACAAGCAAAACGGCCGTTGGAAACAGATAGCTACAACATTGCCACAAAAATTTCAAAAACAGAGAAAGCAATGCCAAGTACAAGTACATCAAATCAATACCGTTAATGGTGGTTAAAATTGATAAAAAATGACTCCGCTTAAATATTTTTATGAAGAAAATTCGTTTACATATGTATATATTATATATTATAATATTGCAATTTGCAAAAATAAATATTTATATAAAAATTAATTTTGAAAAAATCGAAACCAAAAAACCGTTATTTTAAATGGTTCCAGATTCCATTATGCCTAACCAGATCGAAACCGAAAAAACCGAAAGAGAACCGTTACGAAATATCTTATTGGACCGTAACCGTAATCGGACCGAAATTTTGTTTCCTGATGGAAACTTATAATGACTGCTCCATCAGAAACAACATCTAGAGATTGGTTTCGGCGATTCAAAAGTGGTGATTTTGATATGAGAGACAAAGAACGTCCAGGTCAGTTAAAAAAGTTTGAAGATGCCAAACTGCAAACATTATTGGACCAAAATTAACCTCAAACACTCAAGGACATGGCTGCGGCTAAATGAAAAAATTCAAAAGGAAGGAAAATGTGTGCCACATAAACTGACCGAAGCGAACATGCTGAACCGTGTATCCATCGCTACTGCTCTGATTGCCAGGCAGAAAAAAATTTTTTGTACCGGATTGTCACTGGTGATGAAAAGTGGATCCATTATAACAATCCTAAATGCAAAAATTCATGGGTAGACCCAAGCCATCCATCCACATCAGTGCCAAAATGCAATTATTCATGGTCATAAGACACTGTTCTGTATTTGATGGGATTAAAAAGGTATATTATAAGTTCTTAAAACCAAATGGAACTGTTACAGCTGACCGGTACCGACAACAATTATACAGTTTGAAGCTAGCATTGGATAAAAAATGACCACAAATCGCACACAATTAAAGAAAAGTGATTCTGTTGCATGATAATGTCCGGCTCACATGTTACAAAAGTCGTTAAGGAAACGCTGAAAGAGCTGAAAGAGAGAAATAGGAAGTTCTTTCGCATGCCACACATTCTCCAGACCTAGCCCCGTCTAATTACCGCTTGTTCCGTTCAATGCAGCATGGCCTTCAAGACACACGCTTTCGAAATTACAAAGAAGCCCGAAAGTGAGTGGATGAAGAGATTGCTTCAAAACCTGAGTCGTTCTGTCGCCGCGACATTCATCTCTTACCAGAAAGATGGGAAAAAGTAATAAAAAACGATGAAAAATATTTTAATCGATTAATTAATTCATTTTGAAATAAATATGTTTTTCAAGTAAAAAACAACGGAAATTAACTGAAACACCTAATAACATTTAATTCATTAAATTTCAAGGTATTCTGAATCTAAAACTCAAAAACTTTGTAACGGATAAGTGTTGAGCAACGGACGAATACAAAGTACTCACCTAGCAGAGGAATGATCGATACTGATACTTCTAGGCCTCGGCGGTAGCGCCGGCTTTCCGTTCGAGGAGGTGTCCTCTGAACTCGAGTCTTCTTGGTTTCCTACTTGACTTAGATTGACTGCAACACGATCATGAATTTGATGAGTAAGCAATAAGCGACGAAAGGAGGAACGTTTATGGCTCTTACGCCCGATTTCTTCATATCTCCCAATAGCTATCTTCCAGATATAGATATCCGTCAGATAACTAAAAATTCGTTTTCTTTACTAAAACCTCTAGTTACGTATCTAACAGATAGCTACTTCTCATACTACTAACATTCGACATAAAATGTATTAGAAATTTATTATAAATTATCATATTCTGCCAACGATATATTCTTCTCTTCGGGCCAGTTCTACGACTAATCAATATATTCTTCTCAAATGATGTTATATTTAGCGAAAATAAATATTTCGGAGCCTATTTTCGGTTAACTTTTTTTGAAAAGGGTAAAAAAAAAATAATAATTATCCACCTCAATAGAGAAGAAAAAAAGAGAAGCAAGTTTTACAAAATTTGAGATTGATTTGTTAATCGAGATTACAATATAAACATATTGTCGAAAATAAAAAATCGATGCAACAACATGGAAAGAAGCTGAAAAATGAAGCTTGGAAAAAATTTTGCGACAATTTAATGCTGCTTCGGGAAATTTTCTTCGTCTTATTTCTACAAATTCATTATCATCATCATCATCAGATTCAAAAATATTAATATCCACGAGCAACAAATCCATTATTATGTTTGTGTTTTCATAAAAACAGCACGTATTCTTATAATTTTTAGATTATATCAGGGCACTGAGATCAATATCTGCCAGATATCGGTTATTTCAGGCAGAAAATAAGTTTATCTGTCGAATACAAACTTTAAAAAGATGAAGAAAATCGATTGTAGGAGATATCTCATGGATAAAGTTATCAACAACTTATTTAGAGATGAAGAAATTGAGCATTAGGGGTCGGTTGTTCCAACTTCTTGGTAAGTTAACTGGTAGTTAAATCATATGTTTGTCTTTGTTTTTCTTTTAACTTAGACAAAGACAGACATATGATTTAACTATCAGTTAACTTAACAAGAAGTTGGAACAGCCGGCCCTTAGTCGTGCTAATGTATGTTAGATACGGAATAAAAGAACAGAAATTCAAATACCGGTCGAGAAAGCTCCCTGCATCCCTCGTCGTCTCAGGATCGACGAGAGATTGCCGCCGGACGAGCTCGATTTGTTTTGATGGTTGATCTTATTCTGCGAGCTGATCGTTGGCCTCATCAAGCCGCTTATCCTGCTGTTGCCCGACTGACCGTTCCACCCTCTGCTTCCCCCCGTTACACCACCGGCATCCGACTCCGAATCACTCTGTCAATGCACAATAATGCCATTTTTATTCAGTATAAATTGAAGTCTTCTCAGGACAACGATCATGTAATTTTTCAAGGTGATAGAAAAGAGCAGAACTTGTTACGTTTTCGTCTCTGAGGGAAAGTTAATCATCATTTCGTTATCATGGCGACACAAGACACACCTGGTTCAAGACGCCGACGCTGCTGCTTCTCGTCATGTGAGTCGAGTGATTCTTGCCTAAAGTGTGCCTGGACTGACCGCCGGAGTTGGCACTCCCGGATCCCGCTCTCGACGTGACGTTTGCGCTCTTACCTCCCAATTTCCCTGGAACTATTATCGCCGATTAGAAGGAGGCGCGTCCCGCTCCGACGGAGGATTCAGGGCTCGTCGGACATGAAAAATGACTTGCACGAGCATGGATGCAAATACGAGAGATTTCAAACGAAAAACATTCCGTACGGAATTGCTAAAGAGAAGTACCTTGTACAGGGCCATGCAGTAACCTATTCGAGGGGTTGACGGAAAGATCACTGAGCGAACAGGCGCGTCTCATACCACCCCCTTCTTCTTCGCTGTCAATAACTTTTGACGAGATTCGCCCCCCACTACTGGCAACTGTCAAAAATGCGCACACACATGCACTAATTGCTATTTTTGTTTGCGATCGATGATGTACATCGTATTGATTTTTTCCTTATGTAGGCGCTAGGTACATCTTATTCCTAAGAGCTTGAGCACATTGCAACGTAAGAACCATTGCTTCGATCGAGCTCGATAACGATAGAAACACATAATGATATAAAGATAAGGAATAAAAAATCGGAATAGCACGCAAGCTCAAGGCTCAGTCTTAATCCTATAAAGACGGAAAAAGAAGAGGAACTCAACGAGGTTACGGGATCATTCAGAGGAGTCGAGAGTTGACATGATGTTTCTTGCACAATTCGTCAATGACAAAACAAAGGGACTTAATGGCAAAGCGGGTCGGTGATGGGGTGGGATGATGTTATAAAATGAGAGAACAAGCATGCCGTCGCATTCCGTGTCGAGTAGAAAATGACAAAGTACCAATAAGAAAGCTTCCATATAGACACACACACGTCCACGTGACTAAAAGCGTTGAAACTGAAAAGTAATCTGCTGCCGCTGCGAAACGAAATCGAAAAGTAATATGCACCACACATACGCATGTGTGTGTATACAGGGTGAGGCGTCTAAAGCAGACCATCTGAGTAACTTTGAAAATATGCGAGACAGAAAAAAAAATATTAAATACAAGAGTTGTAGGGTTTTAAGTGATGCATCACGTAGTAATATTAGTGTAACCTTGAACAGCATCATCAAAGTTACGGGAAGGTCATCTTGAATTAATTCGAACAATTTTTGTCTGAAACTTTTTTCTTATTTGCTTAATATTTCTTGAGTTATTTAAGAAAAACTTGGCAACTTTCAATATTTAGCTTATGATATCTCTATTTATCGGAAGAAAAGGTGATATTAGATTTTTTATTCTATTTGGTCTCAAGAATGCTGGTACAATAGTGCCTCAACTTTTGTTAACTCGACGATTTTTGAAAATTTCAAAATCAAGTTAACAAAAATTAGTTAACACTGTTATAACAGCATATCCTTGATCACTTTTCCTCCCGACAAATAGTTATCGAGATATCGTAAGTTAAATATTGAAAAAGTTACTAAATGTTTCTCAGATATTTGAAAATATTAGGCAAATAAAAAAAATATTTCTGACGAAAAATGTTCAAATTAATTGCTAAGAAAAGATTATACAGGCTGGTCCATTTTAATCAACAATCGGAAATATTTCGTCAGGTAAGCCAGATCGCGAAAAATGTTTCAAACAAAAGTTGTACGTTCAGAGGGGGACATCTGACGGTGACCTTGGCTCGACCTTGGATTGAAGGTAACGTAAAGATTGACTTTAAAATCCTAGATGGAACCCCCCATTTTTTATTGCATATTCTTGTAGCCTTTATCGAAACGTTTTCAAAACACTACCTACTTTTGTCTTTTACGTAAGCCATTCCCAAGATAGGAAGCTTAAAAGTTGACATACCGCCGGCATTCGCATTACTCGATGTGCACCGCGAGAAGGTTGCTCAGTCGGATTTGTACATCATAGTTTACTTTCCTTCGGGAATCACCTCGATCACCACTTTCCCTCATCGATGGATATAGGTCGGGATGGTTCAAATTGGTGGCCACCAAGATCACCCGACCTTACTCCTCCGGATTTTTATCTGTGGGGACTTTTGAAAGACGCAGTGTTGCGTCAATCGCCAACGACGCGGCAGGATATGATGGATCGCATCAGAAATGTGTGTCGAATGATTCTAGCAAACGTTCTTCTGAAACTTGTCGAAAGTTTCGAAAAGCGAATTCGAGTATGCCGAGCTGTCGATGGCGGCGTTTTCGAACATCTGTGATGAATGAGCCCCTCCCGCCCCTTCACATACACAAAATCAGCCCTTTTTAGGGCCACTGTGATGTACAAATCCGACCGAGCAACCTCCCCGCGATGTACATCGGATAATGCGAATACCGGCGGTATCTCAACCTTGAAGCTTCATATCTTGGGAATGGCTTACGCAAAAGACAAAAGTTGGTCGTGTTTTGAAAACGTCTCGACAAGGGCTACAAGAATATGCAATAAAAAGTGGAGAGTTTCATTTAGGATTTTAAACTGACCTTTACGTGACCTTCAAACGACAATCCAAGCCAAGGTCACCCACAAATGTCCCTCTCCGAACCCTACAACTTTTGTTTGAAACATTTTTCGCGATCTGGCTTACCTGACGAAATATTTCCGATTGTCAATTAAAATGGACCACCCTGTATAATAAAAATAGGGATTTTCATTTAAAAAATTCAAAGTGACCTTTCTATAACTTTGATAACGCTGTTCAAAGTCATACTAGTATTGTTATGTAATGCATCTCACTTTAAATCCTACAGCTTCTGTATTTAACATTGTTTTTCTGTCTTGCATATTTTCAAAGTTATTCAGATGACTGTTTTAGGTACCTCACCTTATATATGTGTATGATCACAAAGCGATGAGAGCTGATCGCTCGCCTCGCCGAGACGACTAGTCTCACTCTGCGCAGCTAAGTCTATCACGCACATTCACATGAATGGGGGGACATGTACACGCATGAGAGAGGCGTTTCTTCGTCGCAAACGTGCCGATGCGCTTCGTTTTATCGTGCGTACGCGTATATATATTCGCAAGATACGCCCGCTACACGTACGTTTCCGCTGCCGCTTTCAGAACTACTATACGTACTACATATACATGTACATAGTGACACGTAAAAATGGCAAGCATTCCCTATACTCTCTCTCTCTCTCTCTCTCTTTCTTTCTTTCTCTCTCTCCCTCTCTTTCTGTCTCCTTTCCTCTCTCTTGATACCTGCATAAGGATACTTCGTGGGCAGAATCGCCTGATTGATCGTCGGCAAGGTTTTCGTCCACCTCATGTGGCTCTGACAGCGCGACGCGGGCGGCCACATTCTCTTGGGCGAATTGGTGCAGCTCGACGCGGACGTGGAGGAACCCGACTCCATCAGCGACCTGTCCATCGTCGACACATCGGCGCAGTCGCTGTCCTCGCCGCCTGAGTGCAGGCGCACTTGGTCACGCTTGATCGCGTAAAAGCGGCCGGCCCGCTCGGCCTCCAGCTTGGCCAAGTTGTCGCCCGTATCCTGGCAGTGCGACAGTCGCAGGCAGCGCTCCTTCATGAAGTACTGCTTCTGCCTCACGAGATTTTCGAACTCCTTCGATAGCAGCTTCACCGTACCCTCGATGGCGCGTGTGATCCTCACGTCCACGCTCGCGTCCAGGTTGTCGATCCGCTCGTCGGCCGAGCAGAAGTCCGCGCCGCTCGGCTGTAACTCCGTCGCTGGCAGGTTGCAGAGAGTGACACCGGTCTCCAACGAATCGTAGTCTTCGCCGGTGTCCTTGGTTGGGATCTCGTTCTCCAGGTGAAGGATCCTCTCCTGCTCGGGGCAAGTATTCGACACGATATCGACGACGGAGGCGTCGTGGACGTTCAGGAGGTAATGACTTTTGGCTAACCGCGAAGGCTCGTCATATATGTCGGTCTGTATGTTAACGTTGCTATTGTTGCGATGGCTCGGCAAGCTGAAGAACTTATTCTTGCCATCCTTGTCGTCGTCGGGTTGTTGGCTGTAGCTGGTGGACTGCAGGAACTGCTCGAGCGTATTCGAGGTGGTCGGATGGTGGTGGTGGTGGTGGTGGTGGTGGTGATGGTGGTCTCGCTTCACCTGAGGATCGTTTGTTCGCGCGGACCGGTGCTCCGGGTAAGCCTGGCTCGCGGAGGACGTCGGCGCATAGCCGTCGACGTCGATGCTCTTTGCAGCGCCGGGTGATAAGGGCGGCGTGTCGAGGTATTTCCAGCTCGGCCGGGCGCGGTTGCGCATACTTTGGGTGCGCGACGAGTTTCTCTTGGGCTTCGGCGGCTTGTGAGCGACGAAGTCGTTGAGGATCATCAACGACTCTGGTTTTGTGGGCACCTTGAGGCTGTTGCTGCGCGAGATTGTCTCCGATTTGCCGCACATGCTCGTGTTCGCAGAGTCCTTGCGGTGGTCGTTGTGTTCGTCCGGGTTGAATTCATAGTACATGCGCGTCTTGGACGGCGCGTTGCTATCCTCGGCGAAGTTCAGGTCGCTCTTCGCGCTGTTGATTCTCGTGTCCTGCAGGGACTTGGAGCGGAACACCGCTCGGCCGAGGGTACCCTCGTCGGCGGAGCCATGCGCGCAGTCTGTGCTGATCTCCACGATGTTGTTGGGATTGCCGCTGTAAGTCTCCGAGTTCTGCCGTTTGCGCCTGTAGTGCGAGTCGAACAGCATCTCCAGCGGCGCGGACTTCACCATGGAGTCCGAATCGTCTGTCAGCACGCTCTCCGTACTGCGGTGATCGGCGTTCTCGCGCAGCGGGAATATCTGGTAGTCCGACTCGTCAGTCAGTATGCTGTCCTGACTTCTACCGGCCTGCATCTTACGTCGAGACAGGAAGAAGCTCGCGCTTGAGTGGCGGTCCGGGTCGCAATGGTTGTAATCGATGATCTCAGCGCTGCCCTTGGAGAAGGACTCGACGGACGCGTCTGAGAGTATGCTTTCTTGTGAACCGGACAAGAGCCTCCTCTGGAAATTTTGGTAGTTGGAGTAGTTTCTATAGTCATTGACGCGGATGTTGATCTGATAATCACTGACGCAACGCCGAGGCGGGTTCTTGAAGTCGCCCTCCAACGAGTCGTCACTGAAGTTACCGTTCCCATCATCGCCGTCATCTACCATGCTCTCCTTGAGATTCTCCAGGTTGCGCTCGTTCATGGCGGGCAGACTCTCGAACGACTTAGCGATGTTCTCCATATCCTCCTCGTTGTCGTCCAGACCGATGAAGTAGCTGCACGAGCGCCGCTTCTGCGCGAATCTCGCGAATCGAGTCATATCCTTCTTACACTGTTCCTTCAGCAGCTTCAGCTCCTCGCATACGGGCGACTCGGGCAAGGACTGATTGGCCTTGTTCAACGACAGCTTATACTTTTCAGTTTTCTTTAGTGTCAACGTTAACGGACGGCTGACAGTCGGCTTGGTCGCAGCCAGACTTTTCGACAGGCAATTGTTATCGCTCGACAATTCTAGCTTAGGTAATGCATTCCCCACACCTTGAACCTTGTTAATGAGTTGCTGGGGTTTAAGCGCGGGCTTTGGGTTTAACGTAGGTTTGCAGGGGTTAGTAGTCGATTGTGAGAATTGGTTTTGATGGCTGGATCGGTTACCTGTACTAAGCCTGTTCGAACGATGATGCTTCTCCGGTATGTGGCTGCTTAGGTCGGATATGCTCTGGCTGGCTTTCAGTGACGATCTATAGCCGACCTGTAAACATATTAGTTTAGATATCGAGGGAGAGTCGTATCGCCGGGACTTTGCTCGACGTAAAAACAAAGTACCTTCGTCGCAGTTTTATAAACATTATCATTATTATAAATATTACTATTAGGAGGTTGAATTAGTTCTGGTCCCTGGCAATAGATGGCTTTAGTAACAAATTAATGGTTAGTACGAGTGTTGAATTCTGGCAACACTGAAAGATTTGACATTTACCTATGACATATGACAGTTTGCGCACTATTGTTGCTGATAGTTTTATTGTTTATACGTGTTTAAAATGGATTGTACAAAATTGCATTTTCAACATTCATTGCTTTTTCTTGTTTGATTTGAAAAAATCGGTAACTGAAGCTCATGAAATGCTTGTTACAATTTATAGTGATCAAGCTCCATCGTATTCCAACTGTAAATTTTGGTTTCAACGATTCAAAAGTAGTGATTTCGATTTGAATGACAAAGAACGTACTGGTTAACCAAAAAAATTAATTACAAGGATTACAAGCATTATTGAAACACCGCATTATGAAAACACTGCTCAAACGGAAAAACAATTGGCTGAACAATTCAACGTCGATGAATCAATAATTTTTAAACGCCTACACGCCATGAAAAAAATTCAAAAGGAAGGTAAATAGGTTCCACTTGAATTGAGTGAAAGTGCCATTGCAAATCGTTTGAACATCGCCATGTCTTTGCTTGTCAAACAGAAAAAAAAGTTCTTTGTGGCGAATTGTAACTGGAGATGAAAAATGGATTTATTTTGATAACCTAAAGCGAAAAAAATCATGGATTGATTCAGGAGAACCATTAACATCGACATCAAAACGGAACATTTACAATATAAACCAATGCTCTGTATTTGATGGGATATGGTAGGTGTGGTATATTGTGAGCTTCTAAAACCGAATGAAACAATTACGGGGGAGCGATACCAGTAACGACTGAACAAATTCAATGATGAATTGATGCAAAAAAGGCCAGTAATAGCCAGCAATAGACGCAGTGATTCTTTTACACGATAATGCTCGTCCACACGTTGGTTCAATCGTTAAACAAATATTGTTAGAGCTCGAATGGGAAATCCTTCCGCACCCAGCGGAATTCTCCAGACCTATCACCATCTGATTATCACTTATTTCAATCAATGCAAAACGCTTTGACAGATACACATTTCAATTATTACGAGAATGCAGAAATAGGTGTCTGATTGAATTGTTTCGAAAGATAGATCGTTCTATCATCGCGGAATCGCTATGTTGCCAGAAAGATGGGAAAAAGTCACAGCTAAATATTTATGGCGGAAAATATTTTGATTGATGTAAATTTAACCATTTCTTTACAATAAAGACAAAAAATTGATAAAATAAGACCAGAATTAATTCAACCTCCTAATATATTAAGTTGATGCAAGAATTTTGTCTTATTTGTAAAATACAACAAAGAACGAAATTATTCAATCTCGAGGGATCAATAAGTTCTACGAGTAGAACGAGCGACACGCATGATCGAGAAATTGCAATGACTAAGTTTAACAGATCTCGAAGTCATCAGCCGGTTTGCGTGCACATATTTTTCTTATTCCACGACAGCTCACACTCACACTTTGCAATTTTCTCCTGGTCTCCTCTATCCTCCTCTGCAGCTCCTCGCGTTTCTTCACAACATCGGCATCGCCCCTCGCGTGCTTCGTGGCGTTAACCACCGCCGCATTGCGGATCTTGGCGTTGCCCTCGGAGCTACCACTAAGTCTGCAATGTTCGTTTGGCGGATTAATCGTAGCCTTGAGTATATGGATCGCCGATCACTCGGCGGATATTATCTTCACCTTCCGTGAAATTGCGAACTGATGCTCGTAGCTTTCACGCGATTCGGCGGCTCCTCCGCCCCGCTGAGCGACTCGAAGGCATTCTTCAAGTATTTCTCCCTGTGGCTCTGCTTGGCGAGCTGGTCGAAGCCCTCCGAGCTAGCTTCGGACAACATTGACAGCGGATTCCTCTCGGCACTCGGAGTCGACGCCCCGCCCTCCGAGTCGGACTCGTCCTGGCTCCCGGACGCAGTCAGCTCGCTCGACCGGCCATTCTCCGCGTTCTTCAATCTCTTTTGCCGCCTTTGCGATCTGCGCGTTGAAGAACACGGTACTGGCATGTGAGGTTTTTCAGTTGGCGGTGTTAAGGAGGGAGACAGAGACGCGACTATATTGGGTATTTTTTCTCGGCGAACGTACCTCCGGAGCTCCTCGACATCCATCGCGTTAACGGTGAATTGATTCGACACGATATCCTCCGGCGGCGGATAATACATTAACCTGTGGTGCGACTTCTCCGAGCCGGTGGTTCCGTTCTCTCCTTCGGAATAATCCTCGACGTCGCCGTCGTGTTCCGTGCTCTCGTGGTCCTGTGAAACGCGTGATAAATTCTTTCAATGAAACTAAGACGAGACGCCGTACGTGTGAGCTACAGATGTAACGATCAAAAAACAGATTAAGGAAAAAAAAAACCACACGTAACATGCACAAGCTATAATGTACGAAACGAAAGTATCAACTGAGATCAACGAATCAGTGGGAATGTATTCACGCAACACATGACTTTTGCTGAGCATTTAGCTGAGAAAATAAAAAAAAATGAAAGCAGTTCTATATATGCATCATTTCCTGAAAAAAATAATTTTTTTTTTTCAGGAAACGGTAATTTCTCAAGATGTTTCTCAGGCGGATATACCTCGAATTTAAAGCTGCCAAGACTGCTATCGTCGGTGTGATGACGACTCCTCGACTGACGTGTCAATTCTGTGATATTGCTACTTCTTATAGTCACCTTACCATCAATCACCTACGTGAGTGATTGAAAGAAAACGTGATCAACGGGCCAAGTATGAGCGACGTATCGTAGATTATCTGTACGACTCAAATTAAAAGGAAGCAAGCGAAGCACAAAATAAATCGATAATGCAAATGATCCGTTATAAAAAAAAAAAAAAAAAAAAAAAAAAAAAACAACACACATGCATTAAAACGATACATTCTCTGAATACACTCGCAACGGTGTTAGTACCTGTTTCGCTTCGCTCTCTATCTCTCTATAACTTTCCGAGCAAGGTTGAAACACGCTTTCCTCCTCTTCCTAAAATCGCAATCAAATGTTAACACTTCGCGCCTGATGTTCAGAAATGTAAGTAATATCATCGTGCTATAATCCGAGAAGCTTTTTGTATATTCGCAGGTGAACATGATTAATATTAACAGATTGATTAGCGTCACGCTGATTTCCACTGATTATCTCAACTCTCGACTTTCAATCATCAAAAAAGTTTCACAGACGATTAACTGCGATATTACAGCGTCGATCACTGGCGATCACTGGCGTGACAGTCGATGATAAAAATTAGAATATTAGCGGCGGTCGTTGACTTTTATCGCGAGTATGGCGGCCAGATTTTGAAACTATTTTTAGAAAAATTTGGACAGACTTCCAGACAAAAAGACTTAAAATGTAGTTCGCAAATATACAGGGTGTCCGGGATCTTTTGGAAGTGAAAAATTGTAAAGATTAAGCAGATGAAACCAAGAGAAGTCAAATACTATTTTACAAAAATCGCAATAGTTATTAATTATTAAGTTATTAATAATTAAAAATAAAACACATTCAGAAGCTTATTTAATTGATAACTTGAAAATTTGCTTACTTATTTGCAAAATGGTAAAAGACTTTTTTGTTCAGAATACTTAATCTACAATTATATGACGGCTATTGTGTCTAGCGACAGATATGAGTATACTGAACTTTGAACCTTGAATCTTGAACCTGTCGCTAGACACTATAGCCGTCATATAATTGTAGATTAAATCATTTTGAATAAACACGCCCTTTACTGTTTTGCAAATAAATATCCAAATTTTCAAATTATCAATTAAAGGCACCTCTAGATGTGGTCATTTTCAATCATTAATGACTTAAAAACTACTTTTTTGCAATTTTCGCAAAATGATACCTGACCTTTTTTTTCAGTTTGATCTAATTAACCTTCACAACAATTTCTCATTTCCAAAATATCCCGAACATCCTGTATATATTTCAAGAAACCAATCAGTGGATAAGGAACATTCGCTAATTCGGACATTTTTCGAACATATCAGCAGGAGCTGGGCACTGACAACAAAAACTGGCGACCTCCCCCCTAACTGCGAAGTCCCCCCACTACGAACCCTCTTGATGATCATCGTCTCCCGACGATAATCGCTGCTGCACTTGGTCTCGGTGCCGCTGTCGATGGAGCTGTCCTTGGAGCCGCCGCCACCGCCGCCGCCATCGGAATCGATGGCGCTGCGCGACGGAGGAAACGGTATAACCTCGTCGCTGTCGTAAACAGACTTGACGGTAATACCGTCGCCTTGCTGTACCCGTTGCGCCCACCTTCCTTTCGGCAAGTCGACACCGAGCGACCTGACGTTCGAGCCGAGTGTCGCACCGCTTTCGTCCGCGCTGCTCGCGGTCGTGTTGATTTGTTTCTTCGCCCACAACGGCAACTGGCCTACGCTGAATCGGTAATCCACACCGATGACATTTGGCGGCGTCGGATTCGCGTTAGGATCCAGAAACTCCGGTGGGGGCGGCCCGAAAGTCTCGTTGTCCAACTGCACCTCGATGCCGCTGCCGTTCACGTGCAGCGGTTTCCTGCGAACGGAGATACAGTTAGTCGACGAGAAGATAATTTGACTGGCAGGCAAGAAATTACAAGTGACACAATGGTATCTTGACTTAAAGTTTCACGTGAACAGACGTCAATCTGATTATTCCAAGAGCAAGTAGCAATAATATATTATATACATCGCCCCTTTAGGACGATTCAAACGTTGATTATTATCTTTGGAATGTGCTTTGTTCATATTGACGCTTGCTCAGCGACCGTTGAGAGGCCTCTGGGTCTACCTAATGACTTTATGTTACACAGGCATGTTACAAAGGCTAGTACACTCACTTGCCGGCGCGCATCGCTTGCTGCGCGAGACGAGCCTGCATAGTGACTACCATGTCGTGCGGAACGCGCCACACGAATACACAGCCGTCGCCGCTCGCGGACACGAGGTGACGACAATCCGGGCTGAAACGCAGACCCGTCACTAGTTCCGAGTGACCGACCATAGTGGCCATACACTCCCCGCTGTAATAATCGTACACACACAGCGTCTTGTCTGTACATGAGGTAGCTACGTAAATGCCGGACGCGTCTGTAAAAGTAAAATGGAACGGTCGATTACAGGTCACCGAGTCACGAAGGTCAAGCGAGTGGAAGCTTGTCCCCCCCCCTCTCTCTCTCTCTCTCTCTCTTCTCCCTTACCTAGGACGACTTTGATCAACGAGCCGTCCTCGCCGACGGAACCTTTAAAAGTCTTGCTGTGTTTGCCCGTGGTAACATTGTAAACCCTAATATTCCTATCTTGGCAGGCAGTTAACACGTGCTTTTGCCCAGAATCGACCTCCATGTCATACAGAGTGGTCTTGCCCTGAGCGTTGTGACCTCTCGCAAACTGCGGCATTCCTCCTGGTGTCTAAAAACCAAAGCAACGCACACCGCGCGAGTGAGAGGGCGCGCCGCCGTGAATCGGGGTAAAGTGATCGCTGAGAATAGCGTCTTACCGATTGCAGCTGTCTGAAAATAATGCTCTTATCGGCGCCGCAGGACACCATCTGTATTTGATTACCCTGATTCGTTTGATTGAAAAATCTGACGGCAGTAATGGAAGAACTGTGGTCGTCGAGCGTCTGCAGGAAATTGTATCCTTGATCCACGCTGAAGACATGAATCAGCCGGTCCCGCGACGCGCTCGCCAACAGCCTTGGGGCGTCCACGGAGTACCTAGAGAACCTCGAGTATTCCAGGCATAGCACCTCGGCATCGTGCGCCTCTATTAAGCACAGCTCTTCGAGCGACGAAACGTCGTGAATTCTGATGTTACCGGATCTGCGGGAACAATACACGCGCGGGAACAAATCGTCCGGTTACTTTAAGCGTGTTTCTCTCCCTCTTTTTTTTTCGTCGACTAACGCTGATCATCGATCGTCCATATCGAACTCACCTATCGCCGGAAGCGAGGTGTTTGCCGTCCGGACCGACCCTTATCGATCTCACGCCGTTACGGCCGTCGTAGGACGCGTCGCTTTTTTCCGTAGATCCGGCCGCGGCCAGGTCCAAGTCCTTCAGGTAAGTCAACTCCGGATCGACGTATAGTACCTTGAGCAATTCCTGTTGGCGAAAGAAAGAAATAGAGAGTTGAGACCGTTAACTTGTTTACTTTTTCTTCCTACTTTTTTTTCCTTTTGGTAACGTGACGTATAAACCTCGGGTAAAATAGCCTTGATATTTTTACCAAGTTTTAGAGTTACCTGAATCTTTCGACTGTACGCACAGAAAACAAGTTATTGGGTTGGCAAATAAGTTCATTCGGTTTTTTTAGAGTAGAGTAAAACACGATTTTTTGATACACAAGATAAATTTTAATCAATTATATAATGGCTATCAAGATAAATTTTAATCAATTATATATTGGCCATCTTTATCGACGACCTCTAGCCATCTTTCCACCAACTTCATTATGCCGCGTTTGTAAAACGTCTGGGGCTTATTGGCGAAAATCCAGGTAGAGTTTAACGGCCTCTTTATCCTTGAAGGTTTTCTCGTTCATAGAGTTCTGCAGCGACCGGAATAAATGATAATCGGAAGAGGCAAGATCCGGTGAATACGGAAGATGAAGCAAAACATCCCAGCCAAGCTGAAACAATTTGTTCCGAGTGGTCAATGACGTATGAGGTCTGGCGTTGTCGTGGTGGAAGACGACACCCTTGCGATTTGCCAATTCTGGACGTTTTGTGCGGATTGCTTGGTTCAATTTCGTCAATTGCGAACAGTATACAGTTGAATCAATCGTTTTGCCTAACGGTAACAGTTTGTAATAGATAACACCCTTGAAATCCCACCATACGGAGAGCATTATTTTCTTCGGATGCAATCCTGCCTTCGAGGTTGTTTGCAGTGGCTCGCTGCTGTGCCCCCATGATCTTTTACGCGTTACAATTATCGTAGACGACCCATTTTTCGTCATCCGTCACCATTTGTTTCAAAAATGGGTTTTCTTGGCGTTTCCGTAGCGAATCGCAGATGGATATGCGTGTGGTCAAGTTAGCCGCGGTTAAATGATGCGGCACCCGAACATTAAGAGAAACGTATCCCAGCTGGCGCAAATGCTTTTCTACACTTGTGTGGGATATATTCAATGTCGTAGCAATCTCTCGTACCGATTGGGATGGATTTACCTCGATTATAGCCTTAATGTCATTTGAATTAATTTCGGTCGGGCAACCAGAATGGGGCGCATCATTGACGTCGAAATCTCCAGAACGAAAATTGGCATACCACTTTTTGGCATACGCATTCTGTTAAGGCATCATCTCCATGCACACGGCATATCTTTTTACGAGCATCCGCGGCTCGTTTGCCATCTTTAAAATAATAAAGCAAAATGTGACGATAATGCACGTTATTTATTTCCATGTTCACAGCTACGCAGCACACACAATACTGATGTTAGCCAAACCAAATACAGCACAACATAAACAGTGAAACATAACCTTTCAAATGTGTATTCGATTTGCACGGTAGCGCTGAGAAAAGAAAAGCGAATCCGTATGAAACTTACACTGAAACAAAAACCGAACGAACTTATTTGCCAACCCAATATAAACGAAAAAGTAACAGTTTAATATATTTCTGAATAGGCCGATTAATAGTGAAAAATATTTAGACAAAAAAGCTCTCGAAAAGAGCTTTTAAAGAGAAATACATGAGGATGATACAAGATGGTCCATGGAAAAGGTTCTGACAACCTCCAGGTAAACTGTGGTAGCGAACACCTTGGCTGTCGATTAATCGAGAGAATGAACAGCTCACTCACGTTGCTGTAAATGTTTCGTTTGTACAAAGTGTCGTTCGACGAGATGTCCTTCTCCAGATTCCAGACCCTTATCGTGTCGTCGCTGGAGCAAGTAATGAAGCTGCCAGCCGGCATGGCGCCGATGCAGTCTGGCCCGGCCGGATACATCTCGACGCCCCAGATACAGGCCGAGTGATACAGGAACGAATGCGACTTGCCGACTCGCCTGATGTCCCTCACGTCCCAAACGTAGATGCTGTGATCGTTGTAGACGCAGGTGAGCTTGTTGTTGCGCTCGTCGAACGCCAACGCGATCGCGTCCGGATACCTCGCCTCGAGTGGATGCTGGGACATGTGACTGAAAAAGACGGCCTTTCCTCGTGGGATTCTCGTGGGAACGTCGCGGACGCGCAGAATGAGCAAGGATCGACTCGAGGGCCAAGGATAACCTAGGATTCAACCTTGCGATATCCGTATCGGCCGTTAATTGTCAGAAATCTCCTCACAATTAGCCTCTATTTTTTTAAGCAATGGCGTCAAGCGAAACCGATTTGATCGAGCAAATTTTCTGCCATGTCCATGTTGTCGAATCAATTTCGCACAATTACTCAGAAGAAAGAAAGGTGTAGGTGAGAAGTAGGGTGGAGAAAGATGCATAACGGACTCTGCAAATTTGCAGATGATTTGTCTTCGTACTCGTCGCAATTCTTGCGAAGCGTTACCACTGTGAGAGACTTTTTTCTCTACCTGATGGACAAGCCTTGCGCGACGTCGACCCCCAGGTAGTGCGTCCTCGGTAACGTGGTGATAAACTGAAGCGTGCTAGGACTGAAACACCTCACAATCCCTTCGGCGCACCCGATGAAGATGTACTTGTCCCCGACCGCCATGCAATTGGCGCTGCTCGTCTGCAAAGGCGCACAAGACAGGTATCATTTTATCCGTTCCCCGAAGATCCTTTCAGATCGTCGACCGCTCGGCGATTTTTCACATCCGCTTCGTCGCGCACGGCAACGAGATACATGTGTGTGTGTATGTGCGTATGTATGCGTATGTAGCGCGTGTGGAGAATAGGGTTGCCAGATGGCCGAGATTTCCAGGATTGTCCCGGAATTTTTTTAAGTTTGTCCCGTGTCCCGGAATTTAAGTCTTCTGTCTCGGAAAATCAGAATTTCAACCAAATTATAATCATAATATTCATGTTTTTAACTGGTATTAGAGAGAAATGTGAGAGCGATTATCGGGATTTATAGGGTCAAAAAATTTGACGTGCCATCTGAAAAAATTGATGTCAAGTAAGCCATTTGTGTAGCAAAAAAGAAAAATAAAAAAGGAAAAAGGTAAAAAATTCAATTGTACGGTTTATGTCTAAACTTCTTTCTGCTGGTATCTAATTCACGCATTTATTTCTTGCAAATGCACGGCGACATATCTCTTTGCCGTTTTACCCCTCCATCTGTCACATTTAAGTAAAATTCTCTAACAACTTATTTTTCAACCGTGTCGCCTAAAAAATGTCCCGGAAATAGTCATTTTGCATCTGACAACTCTGGCGGAGAGACCGAGTTAACTCGGCCGGCCAAAGTGTGTGACTTACTCGCAGCTCGACCCATTTGTCCAAGAGCCTCCTGTTGTTAAATTCGCACAGCAGACCCGTTTTGGTAATCGCGTACGTGGAATCCGCCATTTCTCCCCTGCCGCAGGCTACGTCAACGAAATCGTTGTTCCTCTGCTCTCCTAATATGGCAGATCGGCCCATCAAAGGCACAGGTTCCTTGTACTGCGCAACGGAGAATCGCGTGAGCCACAGAGCAATCTTCGTTGAAAGGAAAAAAGAAAAAAAAGAAAAAAAAAAGAAAAAAAAAAGCGCGAGCCATTCCCTCGCATCTGTGCATCGGTTGGTCGGGAGACCAAGAGCGGCGGACGCGTCGAGGAAGAAGAATTACCTTGGCGCTGCGCGAATATTCCAGGTACCAAAACTTGACGTGCCTGTTGCCCACGGTGACAAAGTAATTGCCGTTTTCCGCGAAGCACACGGCCTTCACTTTGCTCGACACCTTGTTGGACGCGACCTTAACATTGCTCCTCCAGTCCCAGACGTTGACAATCATGTCGTGCTGCGAGCCGACCGAGACGACGTACTTGTTGCTGGGCGAAAACGCCTGCGAGACAAGAGCGAGTGAGGAAGGATCATCGCATGAGCGCGTAGGAGAGTAGCAGAAACGTAGCAAAGTGAAGAATACAAAGAGAGGAAACAAGAGCAGGCAATGTCCTCCAGCTCGCTTCGCGCGCGCGCCTCTGCGATTTGATCTGCGGATAATTGTGGGACGATCTCGTCGGGCGCGATTATCAACATAATTCGCGGTATCGCCGGAGATTCACTGCGAACGATCAAAATCTCCCTCTTTATCTCTCTCTTGGTTTCTCTCCGGCGGCCGCCGAGAGGAACGAAGAGAGCCTGGGAAAATCTTCTCTCGACTCGTTATGCGTTATGCGAGAACACGACAGTGTGTGTACTACGGAACAATGAAAAGAATACCGTTGCAGGTCATTCATCGGAGACGATTCGGTATGCTCGTGTACTTCGCGTGTCGACGCCTTGCAACCGCGCCAGCGCGGCGCACCAAGGCGCGCGATGGATACACGTGGATCGAATGTGAAACGAAAATCGTGCCAGGACGAAGCGTCCGGAGAGGGAAGAGAGGGAGTCTCGGCCGATCTCGGTTTCCGAGCGAACTCGCGAGAAAAGAGAATACAACAGATAAATAAGTACGTTTATTATCATGCTCTGAAGCAGCGTTTTTCAACCCCGGTGTGCCGTGAGAGGATTTAAAGTGTGCCGCGAAAATTTTCAAAGATCATTAGTTTAATTACGTACTCGTATTTTCGTAAGCAGTTCAAAGCACAGTAAGTATATACATCAAAATTAAAACCTCTTCAAATTGATTATACGAATATGTCATTGTTATGATAAATAAACACCGGCTTATTTCTAAAGTGGGTGGAGTGTAGCCTTGATTACAAATTATAATAAATTGTTTTGTTTTGTTTTTTGGCCGTGATGGTGCATTTCTTTTGTGTTAATAAATAAACCAAAAAAAGGGTATATTCTTTTTTTATACTTTTTTTTATCATCATAATTTAAACGTGCCGCAGAAGTTTAATTATATAGATTCAAGTGTGCCGTGAGATAAAAAAGGTTGAAGAACACTGCTCTAGAGTTAACCCTCTGAGAACAAAATCCTGCCCCTGTGGCAAAAGGAAGAGTTACAGATTACCGAGTACGAAAGTACTTTAAAAGAAACACGACGATTGTATAGCAACGAAGAAAGAGAAAGAAAGCGAAAAAGCTATTAGGGGTATGAAATGGTTTCTATCGTTCACGTACAGACAGCATTGTAAATTATTTACACGAAAGTTGCGATTCATTTTTGTTAGATTATGTCAGTATTGGTCAACCTGCGTAGAAACTGATGCATGATAAGTCATATTCATTAACGTAAACATTTCTAATTCGTATGAAGATGGAAGTTGATAAGACGCATATTTGTCATTGTATGCTTTTTTATTTCATCAGCACAAAACAGCTGCCGAAGCAACCAGAATCATTTGTGAAACTTATGGTGAGGGAACGATGGTTGAAAGTTCATGTCGCAAGTGGTTTCGGCGCTTTAAAAGCGACGATTTTGACTTGAATGCCAAGGAGCTTGCCGGGCGATCGCAAGAGATGAGTTCAGGTGACTTGAAGCGTTATTGCAAGAAGATTCGATTCAATCGAATGTAGAACTTGCGAAAGGGTATTGCAAGAAGATTCGACTCAATCGAATGTAGAACTTGCGAAAGGGTTACATGTTAATCAGAGCACTGTAATTCGATGCTTGCATGAGATGGGGAAAATTCTGAAGGAAAGAAAATGGGTTCCCCATGAATTATCCGAGAACGCTATTATCAGCCGAATCATTTGCCTCTCGCGCTCTCGCTGCTTAAAAGACACAAACACAAGTCTTGTTTGCTTCGAATTGTGACTGGAGACGAAAAATGGATTTGCTATAACAATCCCAATCGCAATGGATCATGAGTAAATCCCGGAGAACCCTCTACGCCTCACAGCCAAAACGATATACTCATGGTCATAAGGTTCTTCTGTGTGTCTGGTAGGACATGCAAGGAGTGCTGCGTTAGAATATCACCGCGGAATTATACAGTCGACAATTGAGGCAGTTGAATGAGCAATTAATCGAGAAACGACCATATATTTTGCGACAAGGCAAAACAAAGTGATTTTTCTGCACGACAATGCCCAGGCTCCATGTTGCATTGACGATCCGGGAAACTTTAACGGAATTGCAATGGAAAGTCCTACCATATACGCCATATTCTCCAGATGTTGCCTCATCGGATTTTCACTTATTTTGTTCTATACAACACAGTCTTTCTGGCACACGATTTCGCAATGTTGAGCAAGTGCAACAATGCATGATCGATAACTTCATTCATTCTAAGAGCAAAGACTTCTTTTATCGTGGTATCCATCTTTTGCCTGAAAAATGGCAAAGAGTAATAGATAATGCCGGAAAAATATTTTGATTGAAGATATTATGTCATTTATAATAATATTAATGAAAAACATTGCCTCAAAAACGATGGAAACTTTTGCATACCCCTAGCAAGAAAAGTAACGCGAAAGGTGAAGATCTTCCCCAAGTGGTCGGATCAGCGGAGCAATTACAATTTACTGAATTACCAGAGAGGCAATTGTAAATTACCGTATACCAGAAGAATAGTCGTGAATCCTAAGGTCGATTCGTTTTACACAAATTCAGCGAAACATCATCGCATTGGTTCAAAGGTCGTGCTAAGAAATGCATAAGCAGCGTAGCCATTCCATCCCGTCATATCCGCGCGCGTGGATTGTAAAACGCGCATTGTGTGTCTTACGTTATGTCATCGCGTTACGGTAAACAAAGGCGCGTTCGCTCGCTTTCCTGCATTCATGGCTCTTCGGATTACGAGAGAAGCCGACTGCACGAGACAAGCAGCGACCGCAGTAGCGGCGACGGTGACCGAGGGTTATTGTTACAGCCGAAGTCGTAGATTTATTGACTCACGATTTATTTATTCGTCAGATCGACGAGATCGAACGACGCGAGGCAGGCGTGAGACGGCGCAGCCGGCAGCAGCAGAAGCGGAAGAAGAAGCAGAAGCAGAAGAAGAAGAAGAAGAAGAAGAAGAAGAAGAAGAAGACGAAGAAGAAGAAAACGAAGAAGAAGAAGAAGAAGAAGGAGAAGAAGAAGAAGAAGAAGAAGAAGAAGACGAAGAAGTAGAAGAAGAAGAAAGCACGTGCTTAGAGTTACTCACCACACAGTTGATACCGTACTTGTGTCCGGAGAATTCTGCGATCTGCACGGCATTGTGCGGATCGGATATGTCCCAGACACGAACGTTCGGCATGTGGCCGCATTCGCCGGTGGCCAGGAGCTTGCCGTCGCCCGCGAGCGCCAAGGAAGTCACGGTCTTGCGACAGGCGTTGAGCACGTGCGCCTGGCTGTTCCTCCGTGGATTGAACAGCACAACGGTGCAGCTGTAACAGTGAACGCGATGTTGTCCGGTCAGGTAATGCTGACAAGCTCGCTCACTCTCGCGTCGCATCGCGAGGATTTACATGGGGGTATCGATTGCTGGCATTGACGAAGAGCAAGTGTCTACAAGAGTAATAGACATCTATCCGGTGAGTGCTGCTGACAAATTTATTTACAAGTAACACTACTCAACTGTCGCTCACCAATCGGAATGAAAATTTGCTTTCTTATAAAGCATTGAACAATATGGAAAATCCGTTTCTTCTTTTCCTCAAAACGCTTTTTAATCCCTTGTCGGAGGCAAATTGTACCTTGTGGGACAAAATGCGTTGACACAAAGTAACTCTGATGATCACAAAATTCGGTATTCTAAGGTTTTCTGAATCGCTAATTTCAAATATGATATCAAAATTTTTAAATTCAAAATGGTAGATCCAATATAACGCACGAACACCAATTTCAAAAAATCAACATATTTCCATAAAACTCGAATCCTAAGGTTTTTTGGGTCGCTGAATCCGAACATGATATTAAAATTCCAAAATTAAGATACCGAGTTTTATAAAAATATGTTCATTTTTCGAAATTAGTGTCAGCCACGCTGGATCCGCCATTTTCAATTTTGAAATTTCGATATATTTGGATTCAGCAACCCAGAATACCGAATATTATGACCATCAGAGTTACTTCGTGTCAATGCATTTTTGTCTCACAAGGTACAATTTGCCTCCGACAGTCAAGGGGTTAAAAAACGTTTTGAGGGAAAATAAAAAACGGATTTTCAATATTTTTCAATGCTTTATAAGAGAGCAAAGTTTCATTCCGATTGGTGAGTGACAGTTGGATAGTGTTACTTGTTAAATCTAGATTATTTTCTTTCTTCGTAGCACAAACAAATGCTTCTTCGAGAGAAGTTACGGTGATCTCGAGAAAATGCATGTTTTCTCATTGGAAAATTTGTTTCTCGATGCAGAAATATGTATATTAGCACTCATCGATTAGATATCTTTCATTTTCTAGATACTTTTCTTCTTTGTGCATAATAGATAGATAGATAGATAGAATAATAATAATAATAATAATAATAGTTATCATTAAATTCAGATTATGCAGAGTTAAGCACTTAAAACAGGCCACCTAAATAACTTTGAAAATATGCAAAATAGAAAAAAAAATGTTAATACAGAAGTTGTAGGATTTGAAGTGACACATCATGTAGCAATACTAACTAGTATAACCTTGAACAGCATTATCAAGGTTATAAAAAAGTCACCTTGAATTTTTTTGATGAAAATCCCTATTTTTTATTATATCATCTTTTTCTACCAATTAATTTGAACAACTTTTGTCTAAAATATTTTTTTATTTGCCTAATATTTTTGAGATATCTCGGTAATTATTTGTCGACAAAAAAAAGTAGTATTCGATTTTCTTGATCTATTTGGTTTCAAGAATATGCTATTGCAATAGTGCCCTAACTTTTGTTAAATCGACAACAAATCTTTGGAAATCTTAAAATAAAGTTAACAAAAGTTAGGACAGTATTGTAACGGCATATTCTTCAGACCAAATAGAGTAAAGAAGTCTAATATCTTTCTCTGTTTTTCTTCTGACAAATGGTTACCGAGATATCGTAAGCCAAATATTGCAGAAGTTACCAAGTTTCCTTAAAAAATATTATAAAAATATTAGTAAATAAAAAACTGTTTCGAACAAAAGATGATACAGTAAAAAATGGAAGTTTCTATAATAAAATTCAAGGTAACTTCTTCGTAACCCTGATAACGCTGCTCAAGATCATACTAAAATTGCTATGTGATGCATCACTTAAAACCCTACAACTTCTGCATTTAACATTTTTTCTATCTCACATATTTCCATAGTTATTCAGCAGCAGGTGACCTGTTTTAGCTGCCTCACCCTGTATACAAGCTCGTCAGGGGTCAAATCATTAGGCGTGTAAATTGTTTTCCCAGCAAAATTCGCAATTAATATTTATAACGAGTAGTGTGTTACACTTTCGATTATCAAAGCAGTCCCGTTATTCTCGCTGACCTCGAGCTATCCTTTCGGTCAGCTGTGCGATCGCGGAAAAAAGCCGGCGGTTCCTACGCCGGTCTGTACGTTGATCTCACGTTCGAGAATTAATCGGACCCCATGGAGCTCTGGCGCTGCGGGCGAAAGACCGCATTCCGAATTCCGATTCACCGCCGGCGATTTAATCGCAATCGATCGCTGACCGCAATTACGGGGTCGAATTAAGGCTGCCGCTTTCTATATCAGCCGCGAGCGTTTCCTTCCTCTCTCGCGATCCGCTCTCCGCTGGCCTTAATAGAGAGACCATTAATCCCCTAAACTCGTAGCCTTTTTAATTCCTCAAGTTCACCGAAAGCGGAAGTCGCTTTTGTCCTTCGCACGACTTCTTCTCGGTACTTTTACTCGCACTCCGCGCGTGTCACAGCGCGAAAAGTCGCTTTCTCTCTCGCGATTCTCGAAGTCGACCAGGTATAGTTATACTGGCCGAGCAGCGGACATACCGGACGGAAGTCGACGTCGTAACGAGTCTACTTGGTAGTAATCCGGCGACAAAAAGAAAACATGCGAAGACAGAGAGAGAGAGAAAGGAGCAAACAGAAGACAACGGGCCGCCGCGCCGTTCTACTGCAACTCTCGAGCAAGTACGCTTAACATTCGCTCAACAACGCTCCTTGGCACTTCCAAACAACAAGAGACTCCAGCGTATCCGGCCGTAGGATAGCGAAACGCACTTCATCGAAGTGCGATCTAACATAAACCGTGGAAATCGTCAGCGATACGGAAGCGCCTCTTCTTCTCGGCTTTCCAGGCGCGCTCGCGCTGCCTCCAGCTAGAAAGGCTAGTCCTTTCGTGGCTCTTCGATGACGAGAAGGCGCGTGGAAATTACGTAACCGGTAATATCGTAGGATCGTCTGTGTCTGCATGCGTCTGCAGATACATCGACTTCCGGTTAGTTCACTTTCAGCCGCGGGGGGGGGGGGAAGGGAAGGCGCATGGCATTGACGGACGCCGAGGAGACCGGGGTTAGGGACCTCCTCGCGACGTCGCCATAACGGACCGTCGAAACCTTCCGACTGACCGTGACGAGCGTCTCCTCTTCGCCTCGCTTCGCTTCCTCCCGCTCGCCTCCCGAATCACCTCAGCGAGCGTCGACCAGCGCGCGTGCGTTCCTTTACGTAATTACCTACTTTCGATGAGATCCGACGCGGCCGTGATGATATCTCGCGCCCCCCCTTTGGATAACGAGAATAATTCCTCTCGTGACTCGTCCTTCGTGATTGCGCGAGCGAGCGGGCGGGCGGGCGTAATTGTAAACCTTAGTCTCGTTAATTACATCCGAGTTACGACGCTGGCGCGTAATTCTCGAGGTCGGCGCGAGTGATTGCCATTTAACGTCGTCTCGTGTCAACGGATTTGTCCGGGGAGGGGAGGAGGGGGGAGGGGGAAATTCCGTGGGAAAGGTTCGAGAAAGGTCATGAACATTGCTTCCTAGAGTAAACTCTTACCGAAGCATTGTACTAAAAATTAAAACGTTGGAATTATGTTTCCCTTTACAACATTTTTGTAAAGCTGGACTTAAAGTTGGACTGTATCGATGTTACGTACCGCTATAAAAATAGCGTGCATTTTTTCACAAGCATTGATTTTTCACGCGCGAATTCACGACAGAAAGAGAGAAAGAATGTTTTCATGGTCACCCTCCGGGGAAATTTCAACGAGGCGATTTCCCGCGTGCGTCTCGAGGATATGTCGACGCAATTACGAGCGCGGGCATATTAATCATAATATCGCGATAGCGTAAATTACCATCCGTTTTACGACACAGGACGTGAGGAGGTCGCCGTTGCGCGAGCCCGTTACTTCGATGTGCCGATGAAACTCTTTCAGCTGAAACGAAGGAAGAACGTAAAGAGTGTTGCTCTTTTATGAAGGAACGAACGAATGACGTGCTCGTTTATCAGAGGGATCTGCAGGAAACAAGTGCGGCCATATGAGAGATCGGGAGGTTCAATTGAGCTGCTGAATAATGCAGCGAAAAGAGAAAAGAGATCCAGAGCTCGTGAAGCATCGCGCGGACGATGTTTCTCCGATCTCTCTGAAGCTCGCAGAATTATCATCAGCAAAAGCAAACTTGATGGATTATTTAGCTTACCCATTTTGTATTAATTTGTACCATTAGTCAGCATTTTGTACATCGTACTGAAACGTACTTGAAAAGAAAAAACCGTGATGTTATTGCGGCAACGTTTATTCCCTTCCGAAACTCGTAAAGCATAACATGCCGTAAATGCACCTTATCGATATTCATTTTTAAAGTGATATTTCTCGAAGCAGTTTGTATGAAAACAAATGATTTTTTTTTTAATAACAGCTGAAGACGTCACCTTTCCAACGTTATATAATATGTAGATGGAAGTATTAATGACAACACTTTACGACGCTTATAACTCCATCTATTGAAACTCCGCACGAACTTTTGCACTCACCCAATACTAATTTCATATCAAATTTAAATGTTTGTAAGACATCCAAACAACTATTGTACTACATAGGGTGTTCGAAATCTTTTGGAAACGAAACATTGTGAAGATTAATCAGATCAAACTGATTAAGAGAAGAAAATACAAGTACCATTTTGCAAAAATCGTAATAGTTATTAAATTATTAATATATTATTAAACAAATTTATTAGTATTTATTTAACAAATTATTAATTGAAAATGGCTGGAAAATCTAAAGGCTCTTTTAATTGACAACTTGAAAATCTGTGTTTACAAAATATAAAATTTATCTACAAAATGGTAAAGTTTGTTCAGAATGACTTAATCTACAATTACATGACGACTATTTAGCGATAGATATGAGTATATCAAACTTTGAACCCTGAATCTTGAACCTGTCGCTAGCCACAATGGTCATTAGGTATACATATAATTGTATATTAGGTCATTCTGAATAAAAAAGT